TCTTGGTGCTGAGAGGGGGCAACAGTGGGAGGGCTTCTAGTGTCTTGGCCCCACTGCTGGGCCTCCTGATGGCACCTGGTATTTTTGGCCACTGTGTGACAGAGTGTTGGACTGGGTGGGCCATTGGCCTGATCCAACATTTGGCTTCTCTTATGTAGATAGGTAGATAGGTAGATAGCTAGATAGAAACTCTCAGATAGAAACTCTCAGGCTGGGGCAAGGGATGCTCTGTCTTCTTGGTGCTTGGGGGGGGAGAAGCATTGGCTTCTCTTATGTCCTTATCCTTACATAGTATTGATTTCTCAGATGCCTCAGTTCTACGCAAATCCTTGGTGGGGGGGACTTGGGCATCCTCTTGTTCATCTCCTCCCACCTGGTCTCTCCCAGAGCAGAAAATGGGAGTGAGAGAGTGAGAGAGTGGCCAAGAACCTCTTTCGCTGATTCTTAGACTCCCGGCAGAGAGTGAAACGGAGCCTGAATTAGCTTTCATGCTTCACAGGTGGTCCTGGCTCTGTCCTTGGTGCTGAAAGCTCTTGCAGGCCAGGAACTCCAGCATGGAGGAGGGGTTCTCACTGTGCAGTGAAGGAAACGGAACTCTCTTTTCCAACTAGTTCGACATCAAGCTTCACTGAGAGCAGCATGCCGATCCATTATTTGTTCGTCAAGGAAGCGGAGTGTCTCTTTTAGCGGGGCAGGTTGCTAGCAAAGGTCCTTGATCAGGCACAGGGGGCTTGGAAGTTGATTGTTTTTTTTTGAGACTCCTTTGGGCAGTGAAGGGCAGGGTCTAAACCCAATCTCCTCTTCTTTGCTTTTATTTGCAGTTCAAATGGCATGTAGACAAACTGTTGGGCTATTGACACCTCTGTTGTATGGATAACATACAGTAGGGGTGGATTCACAGGCAAGGGTGAAACATCCTTCGTAGTTCCAGGAACAAGAAAACAGCTTCCAGATCAAAAATGGCAGATCGTATCTGTACACGGAAGAAGCATGGGCCAGTCTGTGCTTGTAATGTTTGTGTTCGGCCCAGAGAAACTGCATCTCTGCACGAGTCTCTGCTCTGTGCTTCCTGTCTGCCAATTGGAAGGCCAAGCTGGAAGGGAGAGACATGTGCTAATAGGTGACTCTATCGATAATGCTCATTAACTCTGGCTAAGTGGTGACCCTGCAGGTTGGCCGTGACCCTGTTTGTGCTGTGCTGTTGTTCATCCCTGCTGTTCAGGAGGCTCACACGGTGTCCCCCCCCCCCTGGCAATGGCCAGCACCCCCTTTTCCCAAGGATTTTGCATCTCATCTTTCTTTGAAGAGGAAAGCTGTGAAGATTGTGCACTGGACAAGGGGTTGTTGTCTTCGTTCTCTGAGCAGGGTGCCCTGGTGGTAAGTGAGCTGAATGGGTCGTGGATGGACCCGGCCACAGATGACTGGACCTGGCACCAGGTCTGTTTTCCAAACTTTGAGTCCCTCCCAGTCACTTGCGGGGGTGGGGGAGGCCTTGAGTATAGTAGGTGGGGGGGTCTCTGTTCCTTTAACAGTCAAGACCAGAAGTCCAAGCTTTGGATATTTCTCCTGGTCTTGCCCCTCCCAAGTCATCTTATTGTCTTCCCGTTATGGGGGCTGATATTGTCTCTTTGGGGTCCTTTTTTGGTTTTTTTTTTTAAATTTCAAGTCCCTAAAAAGTTGAGCAAGAATGGGATGGATGAGCTTGCCGGATGCAATTCTTGATGCCCTGATTTCCCGCGTCTAGAGCCTTTCCCCTCTGGCTGTCTCAAAAACGTGACTGGTTTGGTTTGTTGTGTGTGATGGGCACAAAACTGGGTCTCTTGCTGTGCTTTGGCCTGAAGTGACAGCTGACAGGAGTCAGGGCCTTGGGCAAAAGGGAGCGGATATGGATGTTCCCTCAGCGGGAGCGAATTCTCAGGGGTTGGGCTCCGGATTGCGTAATGCTCTCAGAGCTCTGAGGAAATGACCCCTTCAGACGAGGAGGCAGGAGTGTGTGTGTAGGCATGAAGAAACGGTGTTTTCCAGTTTTGAGAGGAAGCAGTCAGAGAGAGGCGATGTGGGCAGCAGAGCCTTTCTCTTGTAGGGTCGGATACCAGGGCAGCAGATGCTTTTTGAAGCAGAAAAGAGCAAGAATCTATTAGCACCTTGAAGACTCAGACAATTTATGGTGCGGGAAAAGGCCTCCACTAGATCTCCACAAAGCTGTATTGTCTGTGTGGGCTCAGTGGGGCAGAAGTGTAATCCTTGAAAGGACAGATTCCTTTCCACAGATTTTGTAAGTCTTCAAGGTGCTACTGTGCTCTTTTGAGATGAAAGTGGGCTCTGTGAATCTGAGGTGTCTGTAAGGTTTGTTTTATATCCATGCACGTGAGTAGAGGCCAGATAGGATGGCCAGGCTAAGCCGGCAGTTCTCTCAGAATTATACCCGATCCCCCAGACTACAGAGATTATATCCACTGGAGGAAATGGCTGCTTTAGAGTGTGGACTCCACAGTGTTATATCCCGCTGAGGTCTTTTCCCTCCCCAAACCCTGCCCTCCCCAGGATCCGCACACACACCCCAAAATCTCCAGGTGTTTCCTAAATAGCACTGAATTGTGCTCGACCTCTGTAGTTGTAAGTGAAGCGAAAATAAACACTGAGAGAGTATATAAACTCAGTGCCTGTTAATAGTATTGTTTGTAGCCTTCCCCTTATATAGCTGCCTGGCACCAGTACTCAGAGATTGACTGCCTCTGAATGTGGAGGTTCCCTTTAGTCACCGTGGCTAGTAGAAACTGATAGACCTGTCCTCTATTTCTTTTAAGCCAACGGAAGGGAATTGTATACGTGTGGGGGAGGGAGAATGAACCCAACATGAGGAAAAGAGCAAATGTGTTTTTATTTCAAGCATAGTGCTAACAGTAACAACGGTTCTTAGAAAAGGGGGGAAACAACAAAACACCCAGCCAAATGAAAGAGGTCAAATAAATTAAGAATAAATAAATAAATAGGCCGAACATTCCGGAGGCTTAGCAAGCAAACGTTGATAGGAGCATCTTCAGAAATCTGCACGTTGTAGAATGTGGAATCCCTGTTTTCGGAAGAGGGAGCCCGGGGCCAGGTTCAGTTCCTTCTGGTTCCTGCAGGCAGACAGTGAAAGAAACCAAAGTCAGTGAAAAAGGTTGAGAGAGAGAGAGACTGAGACTCTGTCTCCTGGCCAGGCTGTAGTTAGCACTTTATGGAGCTTTTACAGGCCCCAGTAGAAAGGGGCCTGTTGGATGTTACAAGTTAGAACACTTCTATTTCAGTATTTACTGGGTTAATACTGTTTACTAAATCACATGTTTGTTTGTGACCAATGTGTTTAGAGAGCTAGAAAGCCCGGCAACTTCAGATCTAGTCTGTTGTTGTGATTGGAGGCTTGAGTGGCTAGTATTTAGCATTTTATAACTCTTTGTCCTGAACAAGAAGAAGCTACAGTCTCGTTCCGACTCCATTAGACCTAAGTCAGCTATCTAGCTGTGAGGATGTAGAAAATATAGCTCTTTGTTATTTTTTCATCCCGTATACCCTTACCCATGTTAGGTTGTAGTAAACTTTTTATATTTTAAACACACCATGGACTCTGACTCTTTAATACTCTGCTTACTCTGCTAATTAACTTTAAGATTAAGAATACCAAAACCCAATAGGGCCCTTGCTTGGCAATCTAAATACATGCACTTTAAGATGGAACCATTTTCTGAAGAAACGGCAATTCCGTACAACTAGTGGTTTGCAGTGTTCTATGACCACCTGTGAGCAATCAGGCACCCTGATTTCTTTCCTCGCTGCTCTTTGGACTGGGCCAGCAAGGTACCTGGTGCTGTTCAGAGGGCATGGAGGGAAAGGCCTCCGCCCCGAGGAGCTTGCAGTCGCCAACGTACCATGCGGTAGGGGCGAGAAAAGGGGGGAAAGGCCGTGAATACGTTTCAGTTGCACCTTCCCAGCCTTTGTTTCAGGGGAGTTTTTAAAGTGGGGGGGGGGGACAGGACTAAGGCGGGATGTGCGAGAGGTTTATAAAGTTATGTAAGACAGGGAGAGAGATGGCCCTGACTGGATCACCCAGGCTAGTGCCATTTCATCAGATCTCGGAAGCTCAGCAGGGTCAGCCCTGGTCAGTACTTGGATAGGAGACCACCAAGGAAGCCCAGGGTTGCTACGCAGGGGCAGGCAAGGGCAAAACCCGCCTCTGCTCGTCTCTTGACCCTGCCTTGACAACTCTACGGGGTCACCATACGTTGGCTGTGACTTGGTGACCCCTTTCCACCGCCATGGAGAGAGATACGTTGGGCTCTCCTGTGTGTCCTCCCCTCCCCAGCAGCTTAGGTGGTGTTTCGGGACAACCAGAACGGAGCGGTGCAGAAACAGAAGGGGTCGTTTATACAGAGCAGCAGCTAGGTCCAGACCCAATGGCACTCTGGAGCCCAGCAAGATTCTTTTGTGTATACGCTTCCAACACTCCCTTTCTCAGACCTGATGGCCCAGGAAACCTTGCTGGCCTCTAAGGTGCTAACAGGACTCCGATCCCGGCTACTCCAGTTTGGTGTCGTGGTTAAGTGCGCAGACTCTAATCTAGGAAAACTGGGTTTGATTCCCCACTCCTCCACATGCACCTGCTGGATGACCTCGGGCAAGCCGTAGTTCTGATAAGAGCTGTTCTTGAAAAAGAGCCGTTTCTGTCAAGAGCTCTTTCAGCCCCACCTCCCTCACAGGGTGTCTGTTGTGGGGAGGGGGGAGGGAAAGGAGTCTGTAAGCCGCTCTGAGACACCTTTGGGTAGTGAAGGGCGGGGTATAAATCCAATCTCTTCTTCTTCTTCTACTCTCTCACGGGCTTTCCACTGAGAACGGGTCATCCCTGCACGCACGAAGCATGTGTTGTCGTCCCCCCCCCTTTTAATTCAGAGCAATAAATCTGGCTCAGCTACCCAAGGTCTGTGAGGTGCTTCTGTCTGGTGACACCAGAGGGGTCGGTTTACCTTTACATCCCATTCCGCTCATGGACCCGATCCTGTCCAGCCTCCTTCCGAAGCAGCCGGACTCCCTCAGGCTCTTTGGGGCCTGCAGCCCCCTCAGGTGCTTGAGCCAGGAGCTCCTGTAGGAGGGGAGGGGGGCAGGCTCGGCCCGGGCTTCCAGCTGGAGGTCGATGCTGTCCTCCGAGGCCTCCGCCTGGCCCTCCCGCTGGCCTTGGGGCTCCTCGAAGTCCGCCTCCGTCTGCAGATCCTCCATCAAGGCCACTTTTTCCTCCAGCCTCTCCAGAAGCGCCTAGATGGGAAAGATTTTAGTCTGTAAGTCCTGTTGCCCCATGGATTCCTTCCAAGCCCTGCTCTTCCCCCAAGGGCAGTGCTCCTCTGAGTTGGTGTGAGCTAGCTCACAGATTTTTAGCCTCCAGCTCACACATTTTTGTCTCAGCTCAGGAAGGTGGGCTCCAGAGCAAACTAATTTATGCAGCAGGCAAATCGCTGGCTCACAACTTTAATGCCAGGAGCTTACAAAGTGGAATTTTTGCTCACAAGACTCCACGGCTTGGAGGGAGCGTTGCCCAAGGGGTCTGTTACTTTAATGTTTTTCACTGAGCTTTTACAAATCCCAGAGGGTGCATTTTCCCCTGGTGTGCAGACACAATGATAGGGGGGAAGCCACGCTTGATGGATTTCTATACCATACTATGTTCCCACTCCTGCTGGAATGAAGTATGTCTGGTTTTTATTTTTATTTTGCATTTAAAATGTTTACGTGCCGCAACTATGGGCATCAGAACTCCCAAGGCGGTGGCCAGTAACAATTAAAACTGCAATCAATCGTCTTGGGTTTTTTTTGCTGTCGAGTCACAGCCGACTTATTTATTTTTATTTATTTATTTTAGCTTTTACCCCGCCCCCCCTGCTACAGCAGGCTCCGGGCGGCTCACATCATTATTGCAGGTAAAACCATTTCTCAGGTAAGGTTACAATAAATCTAGCCTCTCCAGCCTAGGCCGGAAGGGCAGGATAAAAGTCAATAAAATAAAAATAAATAAATAAAACAAATTAAGTTTAGAATAATACATAAAGTGCTAGCAATTACATGTACCACGGCGGGAGTCCACAGTTAGTGCACGGTCTGGGTTGTTATCAGCGAGGCACAGGCTATTCAGTGATAGTAATGATTTTATCAGGGGTCGTTTCGTAGAAAAAGAGGTGCAGGAGCTCATTAGCATAACTCATTCGCATAACTTATTTGCATATGCCACACCCCCTGACCAGTGTTCCCTCTAAGCTGAGTTCATGTGAGCTAGCTCACAGTCTTTTGGCCTCCAGCTCACAGTTTTTTGTCTCCACTCAGGGAGGAGGGCTCCAAAGCAAACTAATTTATGCAGGAGCCAAATTGCTTGCTCGCAATTTTAATGCCAGTAGCTCACAAAGGAGAATTTTTGCTCACAAGACTCCACAGCTTGGAGGGAGCACTGCCCCTGATATCACCGGAAGTGTGTCAGAAGGCAACACCCACCACTCAGGCTCCAGTGGACTGTTTTGGATTGCTAGCTATGCGGGGGTCAGGGGAACATGCAGATCTGTCCTCACAGAGGAGGGAGAGCTTGTACCTGAATAAAACTTGGTCTTAAAGGTGCCACTGGACTGTTTTGGACCAGGGGCCGGGGGGGTGTCTATTATTATTCGCCCCCTGGGCTCTTTACTGCCGGAGAGCCACTCCTGTGCGCTCCTGCAGGAAATGACCCCTGGATGTTATGATGTTATTAATATTGGTGGTGTTGGGGCCAGGGCCTCAGATGGTTATGGCAGACTTATGGCAACCCCATGGGGTTTTCAAGGCAAGAGGTGTTCAGAGGCGGTTCTGCTGTTGCCTGCCCCTGCGTAGCAGCCCTGGGCTTCCTTGGTGGATTTCCATCCAAGTACTACGCAGGGCTGACCCTGCTGAGCTTCCAAGATCTGACCAGATTGGGCCAGCCTGGGCTTCAATACACACCAGTAAAACCAGCAGAATGAATTACCCTTCTCATAAAAACAGCAAGGGGGAAATAAAATCCAAAGGCAAGAGGGCGGGGCTAAATATGATTTGTCAGCATTTCCCCCCTCCTTTCTCCCTCCCCTTTGTTGCTTCCCTGAAGTAAAATTTTAGGTTGCAGCTTCCTCAAAGCGGGGCAGAGACCTTCTTTCCTGGCCAGTCCCGTGCATGTTGACAGCATTTCTGTAGCAAGAGGAGAGGAGACTGCCCAGTGGGACACGCACACCCTCTCAACCTCAGCTCCAAAATCTGCCCTGGCACTTTCCTTCTGCATACATTTTGCACCCGCTGGATGACCTTGGGCAAGCCTTATTTCTGGCACAGCCGTTCTTGGAAAAAAGAGCAGTTTCTGTCAGAGCTCTCTCAGCCCCACCTGCCTCACAGGGTGTCTAGTGTGGGGAGGGGAAGGGGAAGGAGTTTGTAAGCCGCTCTGAGACTCCCTTGGGTAGCGAAGGGCGGGGGTATAAATCCAATCTCTTCTCTTCTTCTCTTTCTCTCCTTGATGCCCCAAGTTAGCACCAAAACGGGGCTGGGTCCATGGCCATACGGCAATAGCTTTTTTGCTACAAGTTTTAATTTACGGGGCCAAATTCCTCTGACACCTCATCTGGTCACTTCTGGTGACCATTCCTGCCCTTGTGCATTTCAAACACCCTTCTATTTTATTCCTTGTGGGGTTCTCTCCCCCTTGCTTTTTTTTAAAAAAACCTCTTTTAGCGATGACAGTTGCTGGGCTAACGGCTTCTTCCCACCTTTTTAGTTGCTGGCTTTGATTGAATCTTTACTGGATTTGGGGGGTTATTTTTGGCAGTCTTGTCAACTCCTCATTGATGGTTTGGTAGGGATTTTTCAGAGCAAGAGTCCTGCTTGAAGGTTCCAGTCCCCTCTAACAGGGCACCTGTTCACCTTGCAGAGGGGCTATGACTCAGCAGCAGAGTCCCCCTGCCTTGCCTGCGGGAGGTCCGGACTCAGTCCCTGGGGTCTCCCATGAAAAGAGGTTGGGAGAGACAGTCTGTGCTGGACCCCCCGGGTCTCCGTCAGCCAGAGTAGGCCCAACTGAGCTGGATGGGCCTGACCCCCAGAGGTCCGTGTCTTCACAGGCTCATCCCAGCCTTTGCTGTGACCAGGATGATGGGGACGTTTCCCCCATGGCCGCTTTCTCCCTGCCAGTGACGGGCAAGTCACCCTCCTAACAGGACCGGCCATGTTTGGCTGCCCTGGTAGAGCTCGGACACGCCGAGCAAGCAGAGGCTGGCCGCAGGCTGGGCCAGTAGCCGTTGCCTCTTCCGGCCTGTGGCCACTGCTGCCTGCCAAGGAACGTTTGCTTTATTCACGGCTACCGTAAAAGGTAAAGAAGGTCCGGGGAGAATGCAGCTGCTGGAAGTCAACCTGGACTGGAGGTGCAGCTGTAAGCCATTCCTCCACATCACGTTGCCTAAGCGCAACTCCTTTGCTTTGCCGCGTGGCGCCGATCATGGGTGCCCTCGGCAAGTCGGTGGTGCCAATGCACTTTCCAGATCTGTGTGTCCCCCCCGCCCCCTTCTTTAAGACCAAGGTTATTCCACAGTTCAGAAAAGGCTCTCTCCAGCTTCCTCTTCTTCAGCACATTTGTCTCTTTGTCTGTTTCTCTCAAAGATAAGAACCGTGCTTTTAAAATAGACGCAGGCTCTACTACTGGGGCTCAGAGCCCTGTCTGGGCCATCACCCTGTCTCTAGGCATTGCTCGACCACTGCCCCTCTCCCGGTCCGAGTATCTGACTTTCTAAGTTACACTGGCATGTGAGAGCCAGTTTGGTGTAGTGGTTAAGTGCGCGGACTCTAATCTGGGAGCACCGGGTTTGATTCCCCACTCCTCCACTTGCACCTGGCTGGATGACCTTGGGCAAGCCATAGTTCTATCAGAGCCATTCTTGAAAAAGAGCAGTTTCTGTCACTCAGCCCTGCCTACCTCCCAGGGTGTCTGTTGTGGGGAGGGGAAGGGAAAAGGAGTTTGTAAGCCACTCTGAGACTCCTTTGGGTAGTGAAGGGCGGGGTATAAATCCAATCTCTTCTTCTTCACTGCCTTTTTTCATGGAGGCTCCATGAATTCTATCTAATCCATTGTTTTAAAAATCGCCTAAACGAAGGCCTGTCATATTCTTTGGCAGGGGACTGATTAGCTAATAAAGTGAAATAAGATAGCTTAAACCAACTGTAACTTAAGAATGAAAACCCAGCACCGGACCAGTGTTCCCTCTAAGCTGAGTTAGTGTGAGCTAGCTCACGTTTTTTTAGCCTCCAGCTCATACATTTTTTGTCTTAACTCAGGAAGGAGGGCTCCAAAGCAAACTAATGTATGCAGCAGCCAAATTGCTCTCTCAGAACTTTAATGCCAGTAGCTCACAAAGTAGGATTCTTGCTCACAAGACTCCACAGCTTACCGGGAGCATTGGACCGGACCCTAGGGCCAGCTGGTGTAGCACCCTCTTTCCAGCAGTGGTCAGCTGGATTCTTTTATGGAACCCACAAGGAAAGCAGCTCTTCCCTGCTGCGTTTGCCACAGCAACGGCAATTCAAAGATAGGCTGCCTCTGGACATGGAGGTTCCACTTAGCGATCCTGGCTAATGGCTTACGGAAAGACCAGTCTTTTAAAAATCCATGGCCGCTGTGTCAGGGCAGTGAACTACCACTGAGCCTGCCCGCTGTTGAGCCTGCCTTTACCGACCCCCAGCCCCTTACCTCCATGCTGGCTAGTTCTTTGGCGGGACTGAGGCTGTCGACGGGGTGGGCCGTGGAGCGCTGGAAGCCAAAGAGAAGCAGCAGGCAGCAGCTGAGAAGCGAGGTCCCGGTCATGTCTATGCTGTCGGGTACGCCGGGGATAGAGCGAGAAGGCTGTGAAGAGCAGATGTCCTCTAGGATGGGTCTCTTGGCTGTGTTCGTTCCCCGGTCCTGTGCTCTCCCCTTTCCCCTCGGCCGGTCTTATATACCCTCGAGGTGCGATCCCTGCTTCCTTAGGTTATCGGCCGGATTATCTGGGGCACATTCCAGTCCCGGCGTTGGCATGTGGCTCCTCGGAGAGAAGATTCCCTTTATTAGGTGTCATTAGCAGCTGCTCCAGAGGCATGCGAGTCACAAGCCAGTGATTTCATACTGCCTGCCCTCTCCGCTGATACCGGGCGTGGAGATTACACGCTCTCCGCCCCCCCCCTTCCCTGGAAATTCTTTCCTTCAAGAGTTTCCCCAGGTTGTTGGAGAGTTTGGGAGGAGGGAGGGAGGGGGGACCCAGAAAGTCCCCTAAAATACAAAGGAGTAGGGAAGATTGCCTTATATAGAAAAGATGGCAGGCTCCGGGCGGAGGGAGATGGAGCGTCCGGACATTGCGCAAAGAGCCATTCCTGCACAAGAACACAGAGGGCCCTGGCTTGGCGGAGAGGTTTGGTTTGTGTTCATCTCACTGCATAACCTCTAAGCCCCCAAATGCCAGGCCTCAAACCTACCAAGCCACTGGGGTGTTGTTCTAAGCTGCCTTTACTCAGCACGGAAGGAAAATCTCTCTGCCCATGCTCAGGACGGATGAAAAGAAGTACTCCTTTATGGAGAGAGTGATTAAAATGTGGGATTCGCTGCCAGAGGATGTTGTGATGGCCACAGGAATAAACATCTTTTAAAGGGGATCGGATAGATTCATGACGGAGGATAAGTCTATCACTGGCTGCTCACCATGGTGACTGAGGGGAACCTCCACATTTGGAGGTACTAACTCACCTCTGAATCCCAGAGCCAGGAGGCAGCATCAGGGGAAGGCCTCGGCTGGGTGGACCACTGGCCTGATCCGGCAGGATTCTTGTTATATTCTCATCAGGGGAAGGCATCAGCCCTTATGCCCTACGGTTGGCTGTCTAGAGGAGCTGGTTGGCCACTGTGTGAGATGGGATGCTGGACTAGATGGACCACTGGTCTGATCCAGCAGGGCTCTTCTGATGTTCTCATCAGTGGAAGGCCTCAACCTCTATGCCCTGTAGTTGGCCCTTGATAGGAACTAGTTGTCCAATGTGTGAGACATGATGCTGGACTAGATGGATCACCAGTTGGATCCAGCAAGGCTCTTCTCATCAGAGGAAGGCGTCAGCCTCCATGCCCACTGTTGGTCATCCAGAAGAACTGGTTGGCTACTGTGTAAGATGGGATGCTGGACTAGATGGACCACTGGTCAGATCCAGCAGGGCTCTTCTGATGTTCTTATCAGGGGAAGGCCTCGGCCTCTATGCCCTGCTGTTGGCCTTCCAGAGGAACTGGTTGGCCGCTGTGTGAGACAGGATGCTGGACTAGATGGACCCTCACTGGTCTAATCCAGCAGGGCTCTTCTTAGGTTCTTCTCAGGGGAAGACCTCGGCCTCTCTGCCCTGTTGCTGGACCTCCAGAGGAACTGGCTGGCCATCGTGTGAGACAGGATGCTGGACTACAGGGGCCACTGGTCTGATCCAGCAGGGCTGTTCTTAGGTTCTTATTCGAAGGCATCCAATGAAGCTGATGCACAGCAGGTTCAGAAGCCATGCTTGCCCATGTTCTCAGACATGGAAATGCATTCTGGAACTGAGACACTGCTCTACTTAGGCCTGAGTTGTTGCCTTTTTTAAAAAAAAAGCCTGGGGGTCTCATTCTGTGCCACACCAATGCTGTGTCGCAGCCAGGTTTTAGAATTTCTTCCGTAAGTCCAAGGAGGGGGTTGGACCCCCTGCAAAAAAAAAGCTGGCTGGAGATGAGACCATGCACTACCAGCCCTGGCTGGAAAGTCTACCTGGGGAATCCCTGTCTTGTCTGGGTAGGTGATCCCTCTAAGATGAGTTAGTGTGAGCTCACGCACAGTTTTTTAGCCTCCAGCTCACAGATTTTTGTCTTAGCTCAGAAAGGATGGCTCCAGAACAAAGTAATTTATGCAGCAGCCAAATCACCCGCTCACAACTTTAATGCCAAGAGCTTACAAAGTGGAATTTTTGCTCACAAGACCACACGGCTTAGAGGGAGCATCAATGGAATGGTTTTCCTGCTTTCGTGATAACGTGCCAGGCCAGCCACTTTTCTGTTAGAAGGCATGGTTGCCTAGATTCTGGAGAGCGTTTGAAAACTGGTCTCTCCAGTCAATACATTTGTTTAGGTGGTTATTTGACCTTCACAAAGGATAAATCTCAAGGGGTTGTGGGACAGGAAGATGGGGGGGGGGCGAGAATCAAAAGGCAGGCACAAGACTTTACCGTAGGCGAGGCCCAGAAGGGCTTCTGGCGGCTGTCCAAGGTGCTGAATCTGCAGGCCTTGGCCTGACGCTCTCGCTCCCTTTAGCTAGGTGGAGTCATGAACTACGGGTCTCTTTTCATGGTCAATGGAATTTGTTTCTCTTGCAAGGCTGGATTATTTTGGTCTCCACAAAAGGACACAGGATTCCTCTCTTCCCCCTGCTGCCGCTGGAGGGTGTGTGTGTTTTCAATCCTCCACTCACAGGACAAATCTAGGGGGCTGTTTATTAATGCATTTTGCTTCTTCTGGCTACGGGAGCTGCAGTTTTAATGCATTCTCTCCAGATTGCTTACAGTTTGCAGTTTTGATGCATTCGTTCCAGATTGCTTACAGTTTGCAGTTTTAATGCATTCGCTCCAGATTGCTTACAGTTTGCAGTTTTAATGCATTCTCTCCAGATTGCTTACAGTTTGCAGTTTTAATGCATTCACTCCAGATTGCTTACAGTTTGCAGTTTTAATGCATTCGCTCCAGATTGCTTACAGTTTGCAGTTTTAATGCATTCACTCCAGATTGCTTGCAGTTATTATTGTTTTTAAAAAATCATTCCTGCCACCCTTTAAAAAGCAAGGTGCTGTCTGTAAAATGACAACCAGAACCATGAGGTGTAGGAAAACACCAGAGATCATTTGAGTGCCAAAGATGTTCTAATCACTGGTTTAACATTCACTTCAGCCTCCAGTTTGCTTGCAAGCGTGGAGTGTTTCACGCTCTGTCTTTCAGAAGGGTAGGGGAGAGAGGTCTCTTCTCCCCACCTCGCAGTGATATGCCGTACTACAGATGTCTTCTGTCTTTGTGCTGATGGGGGCAGAACTGGGAGGGGAATATCCTGGGAAGGGTGTGGCCACGCTGGATTAACGAAGCCCCAGAACTAGGCCTGTAACATTCCGCTGACATTTAGCCATTCTAATTAGCATTTAATAGTGAATCGGTGAGCTTCACTCTTCAGAAACCTTTTGTTCGAATGAGAAGCTGCCCTGTAGTTAACTGGGGAGCAAGCGTTGTTTTTAAATTGGATGTTTATTGAGATTATTTTTATTTAAACCTGCCCTTCTACCCAAAATAGCACTCGGGGTGGCTTGCACAATTTAAAAGTATAAAAATGCAATAACAAATTCAGAGCGGCAAAATAGCAGCCACTAATAAAAAGTAGCCAGTGATTAGAAAGTAGCCGGTCGAGCCGGCATAACATTAATAGGCTGCAGAACAGCAGTCCAAAAGATCAACTGGGTTTTGGTATTGAACCATTGAAGATGAACATGCTTAATCTGGACACAAGCTTTGTTAAGGCTTTGGTATCTGAAGATGTGTGCGTGCCCACGCCAGCTGAGAATGAAACTTTGTTGGTCTTAAAGGTGCTACTGAACTCAGATTTTGTTCTGGACTTTGGTTTATTGTTGGAACTTGCAGTGTTTCCTCTAAGCTGCATTAGTGTGAGCTAGCTCACAGTTTTTTAGCCTCCAGCTCACACGCTTTTGTCTCTGCTCAGGAAGGAGGGCTCCAGAGCAGACTAATTTATGCAGTAGCCCAATTGCTTGCTCACACAACTTTAATGCCAGTAGCTCACAAAGTAGAATTTTTGCCCACAGGACTCCACAGCTGAGAGGGAGCATTGGCCTGGGGGTGTTTCCTAATTGGGAGGAGGCGCCTCCTTCAAAGAGGTCCCCATTCCCCACCCCTAGTCTGCCTCTCACCGGACAGAGAAGTCCTCTCCTAAGAGTGCCCGGGGCTGGCACCTGTGGGCATATGATCTGAATGTCTGGTTTTTTGTTTGATGAGCCAGTTTGGTGTCGTGGTTAAGTGCGCGGACTCTAATCTGGGAGAACCGGGTTTGATTCCCCACTCCTCCACTTGCACCTGGCTGGATGACCTTAGGCAAGCCGTAGTTCTGATATGACCTTGAAAAAGAGCAGTTTGTGTCAGAGTTCTCTCAGCCCCACCTACCTCACAGGGTGTCTGTTGTGGGGAGGGGAAGGGAAAGGAGATTGGAAGCCGCTCTGAGACCCCTTTGGGTAGTGAAGGGCAGGGTATAAATCCAAACTCTTCTCCTCTTCTCTTCTTCTTTGTTCAGGGTTTTTGCTTTGGATGCAGACGGAGCTAGATTTAATTGATGGATCCGGTGAGACTCATGTGGCTACTTGGCTCTTGGCTTGAGCAGTGGAACAGACTGCCTCGGGAGGGGGTGGATGCTCCTTCGCTGGACGTTTTCAAGCGGAGGCTGGACAACCATCTTTCGTGTATGTTGTAGGTATGTAGGGCTATCTTTCAGCTATGCTCCTGCAGAGTGCAGGGGGTTGGACTAGATGACCTGCAAGGTCCCTTCCAACTCTAACATTCTATGATTCTATGATTCTATGTGTGGTAGCCCCACCCCAAAGGTACAGTTTTGCAGCTGCTCAAGACAGGAGGTTTCCCTTTGTGCTCTGTTGGGCTGCCCTCCTCCCTCCCAAACCCCTTTCACGACTCCTTTCTCCTGCAAAGAGCTTCCTAAACCCACCTGAGGCTTGCCTTTGCCAGTCCTCCCCCTCCCCACCATCCTCGCTACTTATTTAACAAATCCTGGTTTCTGCGTCTGCCCACCCCCCACCCCCATTTGCCCACCCAGCACAGACTGGAAAGTTCTCTGAGCAGGTTCTGGTCTGGCTGCTGCTTGCCGGTGATAAAAGAAATCTCGAGACAGGAGGGGGATTGCACCTGTGTCAACGTCTGTTGCCAAGCTTTTGTCAGACTTTGGGAATGGGGACCGGCCGCCCCTGGGAACGCAAGCTTTTGAGTTCCACGGGACTCTCTGTCAGGCTGGATGTTAAACACAAAGAACACAAAAGGAGAAAGAAAGGAAAAAAGTGAGGTATGAAGGAAAAGGTCAGCAAGGATGGTGTGGAGTTGTTTTCTGTTGCCCCAGAAGGTTGGACCAGAACCAATGGGTTGAAATTGAATCAGAAGAGATTTTAGCTAAACATTAGGAAAGACTTCCTGACAGAGCAGTTCCTCAGTGGAACAGGCTTCCTCAGGAGGTGGCGGGCTCTCCTGCTTTGAGAGGTTTTGAAGCAGACGCTAGATGGTCATCTGACAGCAATGCTGATTCTGTGAACTCAGGCAAATCGTGAGAGGGAGGGCAGGAAGGGTTCCTCAGTGCTTAGTTCTCATGTCCCTTTCTTACATGCCCAGGGAAATGCTGATTGCCACTTTGGGGTCAGGAAGCAACTTTTCTCCAGGCCAGTTTGGCTGGAGAACCTGGAGGTTTTTTGTCACGTTCTGGGCATGGAGCAGGGGGTCAGTGGGGTGTGTGGGGGAGGTATTTGTGAATTACCTGCATTGTGCAGGGGGTTGGACTAGATGACCCTGGAGGTCCCTTCCAACTCTGTGATTCCATGATTCTGTCTCTCTGCAGTTCGGAGACACCTGTTGAAACCTTGACTGGATGATGCGGTGATGGATGCCCGACTGATAGCTAAAGATGTTCCTGTCTTGGTCTTCGATGTCTGTTGGCTGCTAGAGGTACCAAACCTGCTGGGGCATAGGATGGCAGTGACTGCTTGGAGGGTTTGGAAAGTAGCAAATGAAACTGAAAACAGACTCTTGCAGCAAGCCAGTGTGAGATGTGGGTCTTCAAGGGCATGTGGCTGGTTTTGTGGACTTGACGTGGCTTTTACTTGTCTGGGTCCCTGCTTCCTCCCCAATGTCCAGCTTGCCTCTAGAGCGTTTACTAGCAATAACATCCAGTGGCATGTGAATCAAAAACACCCCCATAACTCTGTGATTTGTGTGTGTGTGTGTGTGTGTGTAGGAGTCAGAATTCAGGAATGGTTTCCATCACCTTGGGTTTTTCCAAAAATAAAGTAGGGCTGGAAATTAGAACTGCTTCAATAGTCCCTGGATTTCTTCAGCCTGACACTCACAGTAGAGCCTCCCTCTTCAGTGTGATGTAGAGTTTGGTGCTGGCTTGTTAGACGCATGGACTAGAACGTTCAAGGTCAACATACACAGACGGAGGAGTGTGGCGTAGTGGTTAGAGTGTTGGTCTTGCACTGGGAAGACCTGGGTTCAAATCCCTTCTTGGGCCATGAAGCTCATCAAGTAACCTTGGCTTAGTCATTCTTTCTCAGCTTGAGCTAACTCACAAGGTTGTGCAAAAGAGGGAAAGTCAGATCCGAGCTCCAGGGAGTAGGAGTGCAGTGTTTTCATAAGGAACTGATTAATGCATGCCTTTCTCTAGTTCCAGCTCCTGCCAACCTAGCAGTTCGAAAGCAAGAAATTGCAACTAGATAAATAAGTACCGCTTTGGTGGGATGGTAACAGCGTTCCGTGCACCTTGGTGTTTAGTCATGCCGGCCACATGACCACGGAAATGTCTTCGGACAGCGCTGGCTCTTCGGTTTTGAAATGGAGATGAGCACCGCAACCCTAGGGTCGGCTTCAACTGACTTTCGAGCAAGGGAACCTTTACCTTTACTTTTTAGATACTGCTGCTACATTTAAATACCTCTGATACATGGTTTTGTTGTTGTTCAGTCACACAGTCGAGTCTGACTCTTCGCAACCCCACGGACCAATGCTCCCTCTAAGCTGTGGAGTCCTGCGAGCAGAAATTCTACTTTGTGAGCTACTGGCATTAAAGTTGTGAGCGAGCAATTTGGCTACTGCATAAGTGAGTTTGCTCTGGAGCCCTCCTTCCCGAGCTGAGACAAAAAATGTGTGAGCCGGAGGCTAAAAAACTGTGAGCTAGCTCACACTGACTCAGCTTAGAGGGAACACTGCCACAGACCACATCACGCGGGTAGTTCCTTCAAAATACATGTATGGCCTTCTGTAGCAACCCATGCTTGGACTCACCTGTGATCTTAGGCACCCGTATCTCATAAAGCTACCATTACGTGGTTTATTTTTTAAAGCCCCCCCCAAAGGAAACCACTCAATTTCTACAAAATCTTTATTGATAATACACCCCAAGACCCCATTCCAGTAGGATGAGATTTCAGTGTTTTCGGCTATAGCAGTGCGTACAACGTGAATACACAGATATGACATAGCGCAGAAAAGGACATGATTCTGTGGATCTGAGTTCCTTTCAATACGTTCCGAGGCCATATCAAAGGTGTTTGGAAGGGTTAAAGCCTTTGGGAATGTGGGAGGGTGGACTCTTTTCCAGTTTCAACTCCTGGGTTTTCTCCGAGAACCTAAAACAAGAAAGGAAAAGAGAGGCAATGAGGATAATTTCAGTTTGGGGGGAAGGATAGGCTTGCTAAAAGGGACATGATCCAGACCGGCAATGGCCCGACTCTGTTCTTGTGCAGGGAGTCAGTCTCGGAAGGAAATTGCTGCGACTGACCCTCTGCTCCGTTGTAATGGAGGTGAGCGCTTGCCTAAAATCAGGCCTCCGCTTCTGTCCAGAGGAAACTTGCAATTGCATGGAGCCGCCATATTTTCCCCCTCAAGGAGGACGCTGGCAGAAACCGACTGCAATTCACCCCCAGCAGTTGCTGCCCCCTTTCTGCCCTGTTGAGGCCAAGTCAGACCCTCTAGCTCAGCAGTGCCTTCTTGGACCAGCTCTCCAGGGCCCTGTGGCCAGAAAGATCTTCTCCAGGACTTGCTAAATTGTTTTAGTTTTTTTATTTTAACCTTTTGCTTTATTAGACTGTTGATATTGTTTTAATTTTGTTTATCTGCCTTGGATCGTGGGATGCATCGGAGAAAGGTGGGTGTACAAATATTTTAGATCTATGAGCAGAGATGTTGTCCCTGCGGATAGGTGTTAAGAATATGCAAGCCCTGGGCTTTTCCAGCTAAATGGAAAATGAGCAAGACCTCAGATACCTTATGCACAACTCTTTTTTTCACTCTGGTTGCCCCCTATTTAAATTTGATCCAATAAGCATTCGGTGGAACAGAAACATCCGTCTTCTCCCAACTCATACAGCAACCAGAGTCTCAAATTTCAAGTTTTAGCGTAAAATCTTGAACTAAGCAATGTTGCTTCACACATTCAGTGCTGATGAGTATGCCTAAAAATGTTATGTGCAGCTGTGACATAACACATATACATGCATGAAGCTGCTTTATACTGCGTCAGACCCTCAGTCCATAAAGTCAGTATTGTCTACTGCTCAGACTGGCAATAGTTCTCCAGGGTTTCAGGCTGAGGTCATTCCCACCATCACTGGACCCAGCAACCTCAGCCATAAAATAAATAAATGCCATCTCAAGTTCCTACGCCTGCTCATCCTTTAATGTGATTTATGTTGTCATGTGTCAGCAACACCCTTCCAACCCTCTACATTGGACAAACAGGCTAGTCCCTTTGACAAAGAAGTAATGGATATAAGTCTGGTATCAGAAACCACAACATTCAAAAAACAGTGGGGGGAACATTTTAACCTTCCAGGACATTCAGTTGCTGAGCTAGAAGGAATTCCAAAGGGAGATTCGAAGGAGAGACTGCTGAACTGCAACTTGTAACGAAGCTCAAAACAATGCGTCTCCCAGGACTGAATCGAGACCTAGATTTCCTGTCTCATTACCAACACTGATTTCTCCACACCTACTACCTCCCTGCATATCACACCTCCTCCAATCACGCCTGCTGTTGTGGTTTGTCTGCTACTGTCATTCGGCATCTGAAATCACTCTCCAAGATAGAAGAAGAAGAAGAAGAGATTGGATTTATACCCCGCCCTTCACTACCCAAAGGTGTCTTAGAGTGGTTTACCTACTCTTTTCCCTTCCCCTCCGCACAACAGACACATAAGAACATAAGAACATAAGAGACGCCAATGTTGGATCAGGCCAAAGGCCCATCCAGTCCAACACTCTGTGTCACACAGTGGCCAGAAATACCAGTGCCATCAGGAGGTCCAGCAGTGGGGCCAGGACATTAGAAGCCCTCCCACTGTTGACCCCCCCAACTTGTACACCCTGTGGGGTAGGCGGGGCTGAGAGAACTCTGACAGAAACAGCTCTTTTTCAAGAACAGCTGTGCCAGTAACTATGGCTTGCCCAAGGTGCAAGTGGAGGAGTGGGGAACCGAACCCGGTTCTCCCAGATTAGAGTCCGCGCACTTAGCCACTACACCAAACTGGACAGAGGGACTCACATTCTAGCTGTATCTGAAGAAGTGAGCAGTGACTCAAGAAAGCTCTTACATTACCACCCATTTCATTAGTCTTTAAGGTGCTACTGGACTCTCGCTCTTTTCTACACCTACTCCTGGCGATGCCAGGGAGTGAGCCTGGGACCTTCTGCATGCAAAGCAGAGGCTCTTCCACTGAGCCGCAGCCCCTCTCCTAAATGTTTGGAAACATTGATGTTCCCTTATCTGAGCACTACAACTGTCTGTGGCTTGCCCTGCTGAATACAGTTCACTGGCCGGCTCTATTGTTCCGCAGTGTGTAGAATGTATGTGCAGTGCACACGCATTAACTTCCAAACTTTTTTTTTAAAAGACTTACGGGCTTTGAAGAAGTTGCACCCAAGTCCCGTCCGGGATCCAATTCGCTCCAGTCTGGTCCCAAAGCATCCGGAGAACTGTCGCCTCCGTTTTGGGGAGGCCAGGAATTTTCTCCACTGCTCCTCCACCTCGGCCTGCTGAAGGGGGCCCGGAGGATGGAGCAGGCTGGGGGGGAAGGGTTCAAAATCAGCGAGGTCCACGTCAGCCCCGTCCTCTGCGGGGCCTGCCCCGTCGTCAAAGGCTGCCAGTTCCAGAGAGTCCCTTTCCCCTTGCGGGAACTTCTCCTTCAGCCGCTCAAGGAGGTCCTAAAGTTGGAGAGAATTATAAACAAGAATTGCCTCCTCTGTTAACAGAAAGGGGGACATTGACAGCTGCTCTCTGTGTACTGAAGAAGTGAGCCGTGACTCACGGAAGCTCCTACCCAGCCACATATTTTGTTAGTCTTTAAGGGGCTCCTGGACTCTTGCTCTTCTCGGTGCACTGAGTTTCCTGTTGCTGGCCTTTTGCAGCCAAAAACACAGACAGTCTTGCGGTGCCTGAAAAGCTGACAGATTTATTGGTGCAGAACCTTTTTGAGCCCAGATCTGCTCCTACGGGTGCATTAAACATTGCCTTCGGTATGCAGAAACAGGCAGACATACATATCTGGGAGGCCACGGTTGTGTGTTCCTGCATCATCTCTTTGCCTCTCTTGATCTTGGCGGACAGAGCTCTTTCTGTCCAAATCCAAACAGTTTCTGTAGTTGGGGACTATAGCTTTTTATTTTTTTTGGTAACGATGACCACTGGGAAGTTGTGAATGTAAATCTGGACTGGGGAGAAGTTGTTTGATAATTCCCCCCAACCTCAAGAATGATTTTTTAATTTCTGCTTCTTTTCTTCTCGCCCTTCTAGGGCAAAGATGTCCAAACTGAGATGTGTGTTCCCTGCCCTGTCACTCCCTTAGAGAAAGCAGGGATGGTGTCTGCATTGGGAACCCCTGACCCCATCCGGGGCTGGCTCCAGAGTGTGGAAATACGCCAGGGCCTCCAAAGCGCCAAAGGGCACCATCACGTGCAATGTTCCCTCTAAGCTGTGGAGTCTTCTGAGCAAAAATTCTACTTTGTGAGCTCCTGGCATTAAAGTTGTGAGCGAGCAATTTGGTTATTGCATAAATTAGTTTGCTCTGGAGCCATCCTTCCTGAGCTAAGACAAAAGTGAGTGAGCCAGAGGCTAAAAAACTGTGAGCTAGCTCACACTAATTCAGCTTAGAGGGAACACTGATCACGTGCCCTTTGTGGGGGAGATCCAAGAAGACCAGCTCCCCCCCCCAAGTCCCAGGATCCCTTCTCTATCCATACAGGGACAGCTGTTGGACCACTGAGAGGTTTAGAACACCTCCTGCTCCTCGCCTGTTGACATGCCAAGAGGAAAGGGCACCATCTCTTGTCCTGCCGCTGTGCCAAGCCAGTCCCTTGGGTAGCCACTCCTGAGCGACTTCCGTCTCCTCCTTACCTGCAGGGACTGTAGCTCTTGGCTGGAGGGACTCCAGGTCACCGGATGAGCCGAGCCCAGCTTGGCCTGCAGGCATAGCAGGAGCAGAGGGAGCAGGGTGACGCCACCGTTCATCTTGCTGTCTTCTCCTGCGGCTTTCCCTTGCTGTCTTCAGCCCAGGATGTGGAACAGCCTCTCGGCGGGGAAGAGGGGTTCCTTTATAGCCCCTTCCGAGGAGGCTCGCTCGCTGCCCCAAGCCGGCCAGACCCCAGTAAGCCAAGTCTGACCACCAAGGCCTGATAAGGAAACTGGTTCCAACTAGCGGCGCCAAGAGGTCAGGCCTTTGAAAATGGCCTCTGTCTTTCTCCCCCCCTCCCTTTTTAATGAAGCAATTACAGTCTCTCTCTCTCGCTCTCTCTTTTTCTGGAGCTGTTTGACTTCCATTAGATGTAACAGCCATGAGCTGCCCGTGCAAGATTTTTTTGAAGTCCTCCTGCCCCCCCCACTCCTCCGTGTGTTTCAAGCTTGGAGACGCTTACAGATGAGACCCCTCTTGTGCGTGCCGGACTCTCTACCGCCATTAGGCGAGCTGTGATGGATGGAGCTGCAGCCCTGGAGTGCGGGAAGCGGCTTGTCTGAAGGCTCTGCCACTTTAGGCCCACCGGCAGGCCAGACTCGAGCCCTGGGGGGTTGATTTCTTGGGGGGGGAGGTGTCATGAAAACTGTAGTGGTTCTCTCATGCCAACAGCAGCTCTGCTCAGTTCGTCCCTCCGTCCTTCTGAGGTTCTTGGCACCAAGTCTGCCTGGGAGGTGGTTTTGCTTCTGGTCTTGGAAGGTCAGGCTGGGAGGTGTATGTGTGTGTGTGGGAGGGGGGCAATTGCAAAGCTAGACTTGTGGCAGTGTGCTGTTCTCGCATCCCGGAGGCCAAGCAGTGATCTGGCATGCTTTTAAGGCACCCACAGGCAGGGCAGGGAGAGACAGCTGGCTTCCCCAGAAGCATCTCCACCATTTCATCCTCAGAGAGATATACTGCCTTGGAATGTGGAGGTTCCATTTAGCAGTCATGAATAACAGCTGCAGGAAGACGTATGAGATGTATGTCAGGATCTGTGCTCAGGCACATGTAAAGTCCAGCATCCTTTCTCTAGCAGCGGTCAACTAGAAACCCCCCTAGAAGGGCACCATCAAGATGCAGTCTGGGAGTCGGTCACTTGTCTCTTCCTGGATTAATTTGTCTGTCTGCTAAAGTCATCAGATGGGGGGGGGGCTGCCCTTCTCTGGGTGCCTCCACCACCAATTCTGAAGTCTGGGGAAGGTTACCTAGCCTAGTTTGGTGTAGTAGTTAAGAGTGCAGACTCTAATCTGGGAGAACCGGGTTTGATGCCCCACTCCTCCACCTGCAGCTGCTGGTGTGACCTTGGGTCAGTCACAAGTTCTCTCAGAGCTGTTCTCTCGAGAGCAGTTCTCTCAGAGCTCTCTCAGCCCCACCTCCTTCGCAGGGTGTCTGTTGTGGGGAGGCTGAAGGGAAAGGAGATTGTAAGCCACTCTGAGACTCGGGTAGTGAAGGGCAGGGCATAAATCCAATCTTTTCTCTTCTTCTCTTTTCTTCTCTACATTTGAATCCAGTGGTGCCTTGAAGGCTAACAGAATTCCCCAGCTCCTTATTCAGAATCATGAAACCTTTGAAACCCGCTGACAGGAAGCAACATTGGAGAAGGCCTCAGTCTCTATGCCCTGTCTGTTGACCCTCCAGATAGGCTTGCCAGCTCCAGGATAGGAAATTCCTGGAGATTTGGGGGGGTGGAGCCTGCGGAGAGGGAGGTCAAGAAAAGGGAGGGGTACTCTAAAATACCATACATCCCACCCGCCAAAGTAGCCATTTTCTCCAGAGGAACAGATCTCTCTAGCCTGGAGATGACTTGTGATTCCAGGAGGTCTCCAGTTCTTACCTGGAGGTTGGCAGCACTAGCTCCAGGGCACTTGGCTGGCCACCATGTGCAACAGGATGTTGGGTGGGACATACCACTGGTCTGATCCAGCAGGGCTCTTCTGATGTTCTTATGTCCTCCCCCCCACCCCACCCCACCCCGCTCCATCCCGGAGGGCTGCCTCTACTTTGAATTCTGCAGGAAGGTTCTAATTAACACAGAGAATCCTGCCAAAGTTGGGAACCTCCAGAAGGCCCCAAAAGCCTGAGAGAAAGCCATGGAGAAAGACCCTCTGCCCATGATCTGAGGGGATCTTTATTGCTGTTAACGATTTTTACACATTCAGGCGCTGAAAACTCTCCCCAACCTGGTTCCGTGCAGCTACAATCTGAATCCAGAGGAGCCAGCTGTGTTAGACTGTTGCTGCAAAAGAGTAAAAAGCCCAGTGGCACCTTTAAGACAAACAAACTTTATTGTAGCACCAGCTTTCGAGAAACACAGCTCTCTTTGTCAGATGTATCTGATTAAGAGAGCGGTGTTTCTTGAAAGCTTGTGCTACAATTAAGTTTGTTAGTCTTAAAGGTGCTACAATCTGAAGCTTGCGGCACTGCTAACAAGACAATGAGAGAGAGAGAGAGAGAGAGAGAGAGAGAGAGAGAGAGAAAAAAAACAGCGCAGCAATCCGGAGCAAGGAGGTGAGTGTAATTCAAACCCTTCTGGTCTCACTGGATCCGGAGGAAGCCTTCCATGTACAAATTAGTGCCTGCCCGGCAACCCACCCCTCCCTGATGGAAGCTCCTCTCCATTCATCTCCCTCCCAGGTTCACTTCAAAGGCCAGCTTTCCTCATTTATATGCTAATCGGAATAAACAAAGCGTTCAGGGCTCGAGTAGGGAGCATTTAATTAGGAGGGCCTTTTTGTAATGTGTGGGGAAATACATCCTCTCCCACGTTTTAATTGAGAGGAGAAAGACCTGGGATTTCATCTCAAGGGCGGATTTCTATCTGCCCTCTCTGGTGCTGGAGTGACATTGCTAAAGACCCCGGATGGACCGCCAGTGTCAGAAGAACCTGGGGTTTTCAAATCAGGTAAACGGTAAAGATAAAGTTTCCCTTGCTCGAAAGCCAGTCGAATCCGACTCTAGGGTTGCGGTGCTCATCTCCGTTTCAAAGCCGAAGAGCCAGCGCTGTCCGAAGACGTTTCCGTGGTCATGTGGCCGGCATGACTAAACACCTATTTATCTACTTGCAATTTCTTGCTTTCGAACTGCTAGGTTGGCAGGAGTTTCAAATCAGGGGTGTCCACCAAATTTGATAACATCCCTCAAGGGGGCCTATGGCTCCCAGCCAGCCAACTGTATGGTGGTGTGCACTTCTATATGTTGGAAATATTTGTGTGTTGCAAGGTCTAATTCAGTCATTATAGGGCTAATCTGTTTACCTTGTGTGCTATTGTTTAGACTGACCTGGAAGGGAAACCTGGCAGAGAGCCAATGGGAAGAAAGCCCGGGAAATCTAAGTCTGTTTACTCATAATCATTGGTTAATGTATTCAGGTGATTTCCTTCTAGGAGTCAAGGTAGGAACTCACAGGCTGGGGCAGGTGATGCTCTGTCTTCTTGGTGCTGGGGGGGGCAACAGTGGGAGGGCTTCTAGTGTCCTGGCCCCACTGGTGGACCTCCTGATGGCCCCTGGTATTTTTGGCCACTGTGTGACACAGAGTGCTGGACTAGATGGGCCATTGGCCTGATCCAGCATTGGCTTCTCTTATGTTCTTATGTAAGAAGAATCTCCATTGTTGTTGCTGTTGTTGTGAGACCGTGTGGTTGGTCTGTTCTGTAGCTGTAGAGATGTAGAGATGTAGCCTTAGGTCTCTGTTATCTTGTAGATTTTCCCGTGTACCTTTCCCTTAGAAGTAAAGATTTTTACACAGAAAGAAATGCCTCCTCTCCAATGAAGCAAAGATCCATTGCAAACTCTGAATATCTAAGTATTTTTGCCAATTTTTCCAACACTATAGTGTTGGAATACATGTTGTTTACCTTTCAGCCATTATGGAGTTAACAGGATGTTACACTGCCTAATGTAGTCAACACATGGGAAAGTTTGTGGGAGTTGTTTACCCTAATTGAATGACCTGTATCCTCTGTACTGGTCAGCTAGCATCTTGTTTGTAGAAATGCTTTAATCTAGCATTCTGCATTCATGTATTCTACAAGCTTTACGGCTCATTGTCTGAAGCAACAAGAAACACAGAGTGGAGAGTCAGAGAGCCATGTTAGTGATGTAGCTAATAGGATGCGTTAGAATGTAGGTAAAGGTTTCCCTTGCTCGAAAGCCAGTCGAATCTGACTCTAGGGGGTGGTGCTCATCTCCGTTTCCAAGCCGAAGAGCCAGCGCTGCCCGAAGACTTCTCCATGGTCATGTGGCCAGCATAACTAAACGCCAAGGCGCATGAAACGCTGTGACCTTCCCACCGAAATGGTTCCTATTTATCTACTTGCAATTTCTTGCTTTTGAACTGCTAGGTTGGCAGGAGCTGGGGCCAGAGACGGGAGCTCACTCCGTCACGCAGCACTCGGGTCTCGAACTGCCGACCTACAGACCTCCCAGTCTGCAGCTCAGCGTCTTAACCACTTGAGCCACCACAGCTCTTAGAATGTAGTCAGCTGCAAATACGTAATCTTTCATTTCTGTTATCCAAAGTACCAGTCCTACGTTTTTTTCTGCAGTAAAGTTATATTTCTTTTAAAACTTAAGCACTTGTGTTTCGTGCCTCTGTTGAAAACAACGTGGTGACCTCAGGTACCATAACGCCTGCCACCCCTTTCCCTGGAGCCCACCAAGCATCTTCAGAAGGTGGGTGGTGCTGGTGCGGCTTTTGCCCAGCAAGACTCCTGATTGACCGTTGGAGATCTGATTGCTTGTACAGACTCTTTTGAAGCGCTGATTTGGCAGCAGCTGCCACCGCAGCACAAAGACCTTCACTGTGTGACTGTAGGGAAGGTGCGGCAGCCATTCTGTGCCCGCCTGCGCCTCCTGCGGCACCCGTTTGGGGCTGCACCAATCACACCATGTCAGGATTCTAAATAGGCCCGCCAGCTCAAAAAAGTTGGGGACCCACCATGTTCTTTGTGAGTTTACAAAGAGGTCTAGGAAC